CACCAGATCGCCCTATGAACTACCACCCGCAGACGACGCAAGCCTACCCAGGCCACCCGCCAGCCTCACAACCACAACCGCAACAGCCACTCCACGCTCCGTATGCCGTCGACCCGTACTCGATGCCCCGGCGCGACCCATTCTTTCCTTCGGGACCACAACACGTTCGACGCAGTAGTCAAGGACTACCGGCTGGTAACAATGCGCCGCAAGGCCAGCATGAGGGACAAGGGCAGGGTGGCTGGGCAAATACAGGTACGGGCTACCATTTCCACAAATGTCTTGGAAAACACATCTGCGCAGTATGCACTGGGGACGGAGGGTCTGTGTAGCCTGGACATGCATGTGTACAATTTTTGTAGCTCTCACCAGTTCACAAAAGGTGCCCAAGTCATCCAGGCTGCATTTCGACCTGTATGTCTCAAGTCTGTGGCACCGCTCGCGTGGCTGTCTGGCGTTCGAGGAACAGGCAAGAGACGGTAGTGGGAAGGCATTGCCTGCATGGATTGCTGCATGACACGTCAATTGCGAAAAAGCACTTCACCGCCTGTCGACCTCATATCGACGCAGGCAAATGCAGGCAGTCTTTCCCTACTAGTGTCGCCATGCCACCCCAAGCCACACCAACATCTGCGTTGCTCAACGGTGCGCGCCATTTGTCGGTGGAGATGGCATGGGTCTGGCGAATTCTATGGCGCACTCCGCAGATGTGGCTCCTAGCTAATGCACGATCCGCGGGCCTCTAAACCTCTTTCGAAAAGTCGCGACTCGCCGTCCGAGCTTGTGCTGATCCATGTCTTTAGCGCGACCGATACACTACGAGACTCATCACTCCCAGTCGCACCCTCCACCGCAAATGTCCACTTCCAACAACCCTCCAGCCCCGGCGCCCTATAGCTTCGATGCTGCGCGCGCCTCGTCGCTGAACGCTGCCAGCTCCCCGAACCCCTATGGTACAGCCCCGCTCCCAAAAGCAATGGTCAAGCTTTGTCCCAAACTAACTCTCCCCCAGGCCCGTCTCACGAACCTCCACCTCCACCATCCTTCGCGCGGCCCCAAATGCCTCCTCCATCGTCCCCCACACAGCAGCATCTCCATGCATCCCAGTCGCAGCGTCCACAATACACGTCCAACTTTGGCGCCAACAGAGAGCTTCCTGGCCTAGGTCAGGCGTTGCGACCGGGAAGCAGCATGTCCATCTCATCTCTTATCGGCGGCGGCGGTGACACAGGTGCGCTCAACCAAACAGCGCAATCACAGCCCTCGCCTCCCACCAACGCCCCAGTACCCAACGGCCACAGCATGCAGCCACCTTCGCCTCGACGTAGTCTGCCCGCTGGTTCACGGTCGGATTTCCCTCTATTTCGCCGTCAACCCACCCCAGAACGCAACATGTACGGCAGCAATACCTCGCGGCCATCTGAAGGTCATGCCTTCTCGGCCGGCTCACCCAGACAGTCCTACAGCAACCATGGCTCGCCTGATCCAGGCCGCCAGTCGCTGCCACCAACGACACAACCCTACAAGCCCATGAACTTCGCCAGCCACCGTCCCTATGCGCAGGACACAGGTCGACAGCCCGCCGCGAATGTCCCACCCCGACCGAATAGCCAACCGATGGGCCCTCTGGCAAACACCGAACAAGAGGGCAGATCTTCGTACGACGGGTTTCCAGGCCGGCGCAGCGCCTACGGGCCAAACGAGGAGCGGCGGCGCACACTGGGAGAGTCGCATCACGCAAGGCCCAATGCTGCAGAACTCTTAGCAGGCACAAACCACAATGCTTCTGAGAGGGATCGGCCCGTGACTGTTCACCCTGTGTCGCAGTCTGGCTTCAGTCCACCGCAGGCGCAGCGCAACCTCTCTGGCTCATCCGAACCTCCACGCAGTCTGTGGCGGCAATCAGCGCCCACCGGTGCTGTCCATGAACCTCCTCATGACAGTCGCGCAGAGGAACCTCCGCCGATGCATCGTACCTATGGCCCGTACCCCCCATCCATGCTGGGCGCTCCCCGATACGGCGCCCAAAGTTCAGAGGATATGCTGCGACGCAGTGTAGACCAGTTGGGCCATCGCGTAGTCGAGCAGTACCACGCTCCTCCTACTTCCGACCCCAACTCCTTAGAGCGACAGAGGACCGAGCCACTCGCACGCTCTCTATCCTCCAGCGGTAGATCTCTCTACGATCAGCCTTCCAGGATGGGTGAGGCTATGCAACACTCGAAATCGCACATCGGCTTTGGTTTGGAGGCGAGCAGACGAACGGGCAGAGCGTCTCCGCTTCCACAGGCTGTTCAAGGTGCCTCGGCGCAGCCCTTGTCCGTTGGCAAAGATCCTGGAATCAAGAGCGAATTCGGGCGCATGTTCTCCGGTCTCGGCAGCGGGCTGGGATCGACGACCCCATCGCGGGGAAGTCCCATGCCACAGAACGGCCAGGGCTCATTCGAATCGGACAACGGCGAAATGATGAGAAGAATCGGCTCCCAGCAAGGAAGGAAGCCGAAGCGAGTCAAGGATGAGGAGGGAATCTTCGACATCGAGAATGCTGATGGTAGAGGAACACCCGGTGCGCGTGGGACCAAACGGAACAAGCACCATCATCATCAGTGAGTTTTCTCATCGCCATACAAGATGCGTACTAACAGTATAGTCACCACCATCACCATCACCACCAACACAAGCCTGACGAAGACATGCCGATCCAGCCAACCTCAACTACCATTAACGGGCGACACCCCAGTCTACCACAAGCCGGCCCAGGCCAATCAGTTCATCACCACCATCACATTGGAGGAAACCCTCATCACCATCATCACCACCACCACACCCCTCGACCTAACCATCAGCCGTTGCAGCAAGTAACAAAGATTCTGACTAAGGTCCACGACGTACAGCCTGTTCTTGACGATGCTGCGAAACGCCCTCGCAAACATCTTGGATCACAGCTGTACGATGCAAAGACAGAGCTGCCCAAGCCCAACTCATCGCTAGATGACCAGTTCGGATACGCCTCGAAACCTCAACGGCTACCTCGTTTCGACGTCAATCCCATCAATTGCACCTTTACTATCAGAGTGCCGCGTTACTACCTGAAACCACGACAACGCCAGCACGTCGTGTTAGAGAGGCATCTTTGGGGTGCGCGCGTGTATCGCGACGATTCAGATCCTATCGCGGCTGCGATCCACTCTGGATGGATCCGTGGTGAATGGGATGATACTGTCGACGTCACTATGCTCGACCCACGCATCACTGCGCCCAACGACCCAGCCGATGCCGCTGACGTTCTAACGAAGGTGCCAGCGGCCCCTGTGACACCACCCGCCGATATGGACTTGCAGATTGAGATACTTATCTTGCCGCAACTTCAGGAGTACACCGGTTCCGTCGAATATGGCATCTCGAGCAGGAAGAGCAAGGCTCATGAGGGTCTCAGCTTCATGATCAACAAGATTCGATGGGTTGAGGAAGGCATCGGCAGCCGAGGACAGGAACGAACAGCGGCGGCATTGAAGCGACGATTGGATGCCAGCGCGACTCTGCTTGCTTTGCAAAGGGGAATCGACAACACGCACAGGGTCAACGGCATGACCAAACTGCATGCTTGAGATTTAGTTGGATGGAACAAGGTCCATGACATATAACGGCCGTCTGGAGAGTGATTTAGCATGGCATTTGTAGCGCAGGATGATTTTAGCATTGCTAGATACCCGCATCTTTAGCTTGACTCTGGCGTAGGATTGCACATAGCGTTGGCGAATTCTGGGAAACGATGTAATGAGGAGTTGCACACGACATGAAAAAAACTCTTACTTTTCGCATTATCTATCTGTGTTGATGAGTGCTTTTCCAACGGTACGCCTATGGCTGCAATGCGTTGTTATCAGGTCAGCCACACGTGGGGAGTGGTAACCAATCCCGCGGCGATCACACACCGCAGTACCAGAGCGATAGCGGCCTGGACGTACCCCGGGCTTGCGTGTACGCACCTTAAGCAAGAGCAGTCTATCCCATTTGCGTGGTGTGCATTTGATCCTTCAACCTTCAACGCCCAGGCGACAGATCGCGAGGTACACGATACTCTGGCAGCCCACTGCCCCGCCACGACGAAAGCTTACGTGACGCCCCTCATCACAACGCATGTCAACGATGCATCACCGGACTTACTCCATATCGACTGTAAGTAGTCTTTTTTCCTTGCTAGGATCTCCAGGATGCACCGTTGTTTTTTTGCCGATTTACGACGACTGGCGCGCGACTACGACAATGTAAAGAAATTTCGCTCCCATCCATCACGTCTTTCCGGCAATCGGCGGCTTTAGGCAGGCATGTTTCTGGACCCCCTAGCTATGCTGCTGGAGCCATTGTCGTCATACCGCAGAAGCAGGCGCCATCATGGCACACGACCCGGAGAGCTCGTAGCAGCATGGCAACGGCTGAGAGTCTTGGAGCTGTCCTGCTGGTGCCCATTGCTGTAGGCAAGCACCAAGGAATGCGCATGGGCAGGCGCAAACGGCGCCCGTTGTTTGCGCTGTCACGACTGCCGGACATGTGGACACATCGGACTGCAGCCACACGTGCTATCGAATGAGAATCACCCGTTACATCTGCTCCACCGCGCCCGCTAGCCTGGAGCCGCAATCCGAACGCTTATTGCTCTGGCTTGTGAAAAGAAGGACGCCGTACCGAATGCGGGGGAATCATCGTCAATCAATCCATCTCCTCTCGCTTCTTGACTGCCGGGCCGACCTGACGACCCTGCAACACGACACTCGACGTCCATACACTTATTGCTTCACCTAACAGACGACTTCAGCCGTGCTACTCCACAGCCTTCTGTTGACCGCCTAGCATCTGCCCTTGCTGCATCGTTGATTAAAAGCCGCATTCTCGCTGCATCTCGGAATACCTTCGGCTAGATTTCCGATCCATATAACTTTTACTTCGCTTCGCCAGTCGCATCGTCACTGGACTTCAGGGAGCTGTACTTGCCGCATACAATGACCGACTCCAATGCCGACTCCAATGGATTCTATGCGCCCAATATGCGCGCAGTGCCTGCTGGCGACTTCGTAAGACCAAGCAGAAAGACTAACGGTGCCGGTGTACAGGCCGAAGACACGCGGATATGCGTCGTCATGGTAGGCTTGCCCGCGCGGGGCAAGAGTTTGATTGCACAGAAAGGTACGTTTCTCCTGTACGGTCTTGTATAAACACTAACGAGTTGCAACGCAGTGGTTCGCTACCTCCATTGGTTATCGATCAAATCCAAGACGTTCAACGTTGGCCAGTATCGTCGTACTGCGACCCCAAACCCCTCCGCCGAGTTCTTCGATACCTCCAACCCAGAAGGAGAGCGTCTCCGGAAAGCAGCCGCCGAAGCAGCTGTTAACGACATGTGCAAATGGTTTTCTGAGGGCAGGGGCTTGATCGCGATACTAGACGCCACAAACTCAACCAAGAGCCGGCGCAGGTGGATACAGGAGCGATGCGCTGCCGAGAACATCGAGACACTGTTCGTGGAGTCAAAGTGTGACGACGAAGATCTCATCATGAGCAACATATTGGAAGTAAAGACAACATCTCCAGACTATGTCGGTCAAGACCCCGAGGAAGCTGCAGCGGATTTCCGCAACCGTATCCGGAACTACGAGAAGGTGTACCAGACCATAGACGAGGACGAGCGCGATCTTACATACGTCAAGCTCATCGATGTGGGCAAGCAAGTCATCATCAACCAGATCCAGGACTACCTCCAGAGTAGGGTTGTCTACTACTTGATGAATCTCCACATCAAGCCGCGCTCGATCTGGTTATCGCGAGTAAGTATATGTCGCAAACTCATGCTTTGAAAACTAATCGTGGCAGCACGGTGAATCCGAGTACAACCTCACGGGTCAAATTGGAGGCGACGCAAACCTATCAGAGCGAGGAGATGCCTACGCGCATGCGCTACCCGGTCTAGTTGCGAAATCGGTCGGCGACGGTCGTAAACTCACTGTCTGGACCTCAACCTTGAAGCGAACGATCCAAACCGCACGATTCCTCACATTCGAGAAGTTGGAATGGAAAGCGCTCGACGAACTCGACTCCGGTGTCTGCGACGGTCTCACATACGCTCAAATCGAACAGAAGTTCCCCGAAGACTTCAAGCAACGCGACGAGGACAAATACAACTACCGTTACTTGGGTGGAGAGTCATATCGCGATGTTGTCATTCGTTTGGAGCCCATTATCATGGAGCTAGAGCGGAGCGAGAACATCTTGATCGTTACACACCAGGCCATCCTGAGGTGTATCTACGCATACTTCATGAACGTACCACAAGAGCAGAGCCCGTGGATGGAAGTCCCGCTACACACGTTGATAAAATTGACGCCCAAGGCGTACTCAACACAGGAAGAGAGACTGAAAGCCGACATACCGGCGGTCAGCACCTGGCGAGGTAAGGGCAGCAAGGCTGAGCATCAGCAGGCAAATGGCGGCACATAGCCTAACTCCTATCCAGCTCCCGGGGAAATCTGCGGCGCGCCTGCTCCCCTGGGAGCGGATGTTGGAAGAATCGTAACGAACTAGGCCAGTGCAAGTCTGGCTCGGCACTATAGACGGACAAAGAAGGGTACCAGGGATTCGCGCTTCGATCAAGTCGGACTTGATATCTCGGCGCGTGTGTTAAGCATTGGGCATAGATTGGCATTTCAGCGTTTTGGTCACATCACTAGACGGCAATATCCAAGGTCGACGGTCAAGATGGGAAGGAGTCGACGTCTCTAAGCATAGCAGTAGCTACTAGATATCAATGTCAAAAACCATTCGATATGAGAAGGGTTCTCTGTCTACCAATATGCTCTGATTAACGAAAGCTGCGACGCAGCAGCACACAAAGCACTAACAAACAAGCACGTACTACCAGTCTTGGGAAGCATGATGGTAGTGCCTCGTCGCTGCCACCTTCCCATCTCAGCCTCCCCCGCGGACATTGACCATCATCGCAACCCCACCCAAACCCCAAGCTCCGACCGCATCGCACATACACAGCATCCTAACAGCACACCGGTTCTGTAAACACCTTGAACCCCGTCGCTCTCGCCTAGCCCCAGCAATGCGATCATGACATGGCCACCCCCCAACCCCGGCGGCGTAAACCTCCAGTTCATCGCCGAAGCGCAACAAATCATAAACAGCCACAACCAGCACCACGCGCACCAGCCCTCGTTCACCCACGCTACCGGCGGCCACGCACCCATTACCAACGATGAAATCGAATCAGAAGCCGCCTTCAACGCCCAGTTCACTGGACCCCCTACCACGTTAGACTACGATACACTCACCGGTGCTGGTTCCAGCAGCGGTGGATACGGCGCGCACCGTTTACATGGACAATCGCCACAAACAGGAGGAAGTAGTGCAGGTAAGGCGGAGGCACCCAGTAAATCCACGCTAGAAACACGGAAGAGTATACAGGCACGGGGCAAGAATTGGAATTCTTTCTCTGGCGAAGCGCAGGGGAGGGCGTGGGAGGAGAGGCAGAAGAGGGATGAGGCGGTTAGTATATTGGAGAGCGAGGAGATGCTCATGTGGATTGCGGGTGTGAGGAATGAGGTATGTCCCCCCGTGTATGATCAAACAAGTTGGAGAGGAGATCGGTTGCTAATTCGTGGTGGATGCAGAGTGTACCGCAAACGCGCGCGTTTTACCGTAACATCGTCCTCGGCCTCACACAACCGCCTGCGGATTGGAATGATGAGTGGGAGGTACAAGGGACTGGAAGTGGCGCCGCAGAAGGGCAGGGTATGATTGGGAGTGGCAGCCCGGCAAGAAGTGGGAAAGGCAAGGAGAGGGACATTGCGAAGATGAGGAAGAGGGTTAGTTCAGGACAAGGAACTGCTTGAACGGAAGGTTATGTGTTGATGAGAATATTTGGCGTTACTTTGGATTCAAGGCGGATCGCGTTATACCCCAGCATTTTGGTTTGGTTCATATGAGGAAAGCTTGTAATGGCAAGACGTACAACATTACTATTTTGCGTTGCGTAACCATTGCTTCCTTCCGTCTTATTCTCATTTGTGTTCCAAGATCATACATGGCCTTCGCCAAACGCCGTGTCTTTCTTAGGTGCTGAAGTCCAAGCCTTTGCCAGCCCCGGCCAGACCGAACCCGAACAACGATTGATACCTTTTCACCAAAGGTCTCGGAAAATGCCAATCTCAAGGCCCATCTGTTCTCCCCAGCTTTCAACCGTATCTTTGGACGATATCTGCCAAACCGAAAATCGTACATCTCACATACCCTCCTCCATACCAACATTCCTCCACCAAGGCTTACCATCCTCGCCACTAGCCTTATCAGCAAACATATCTGCCGCATCGCCCACCTGTCTCCTCTCACTGATCTCCCTGCTGACCTGACCTGACAGCTTGAGCTTCATTGCCTTGCTCGCCAGGAAAGGGTTGTACTTTCGCGAACCGTTACCTTGCGCCATTCCTCGGGATGACCGGATGAGTTCGCTCGACGTCCATCCGCCCCTCATGACGGGTAATTGCTATTGCAGAGGTTCTGAGGAGGAGGAGAGGCGGTTGAGGTGGAGATAGACATCTGTGCCGTATCTACAACCGATGTTGTTAGTGACGAGATAATCTTGGGGTACGAGTTGGGAGGCTTACCCTTCCATGGAAATCAACTTCAAATCTCCTCCAAAGTAGCGTGCGTATAGCCTTGATATGGGTAACCCGTAACCGAATCCAGCCATGGGTGCTTTGAAATCGCTTTTGTTGAAGTCGGGGTCCAGGCTCGGTGTTTGGTCGACGGTCGTGTACATGTATGTCCATACCAGCGGGATCGATGATCGCGGGATACCGCCTCCTTCGTCCGAAATCTTAATCGTGATGTCCTCCTTGCCCTCTGCAACAATGACCTTGGTCACAGGAAAATCTTGTTTGTCCTGTCCATGTCTTTCCACCACAGCACGCAGCGAGTTCTTGAGAGTCTCGAAGAGCATATGTGACAAATGTCCTGGCACGTACATGAAGCTGATATCCGGGTTGCACACGAGCTGGACCTTCGGTGCATCGAAGAGTCCGTAGTGATCCTCGCAGACGAAGCGCGCATTCTCAATAGCCTCCTGAGCCAGTTCTTGGACATTGGTCTTTGTGCAGATTATGCCGACGTAGTTGGGATCGTTTCGCGAGCGTTGGTCTGTGAGGGCGATGTGCTGGCCGATGAGCATACGGATACCGATACGCGACATGTAGAAACGGTCGAGGAAGGCTTGGATGTTGTGGTCGATCTGCATCCTTTGCCTCTTGCGCTTCCACTCGAGAATGCCCTGTGCGACCGTCGTGACGACGCTGTCGTGCCGCCTCTTGATCTTCTCCAATGTGTCTGCGAACTTTGTGTTGTATGCGCCCAGCTCCGGCGGCCATTCCTGTCCGTCGTCTGCGGCGGCATAGTATCTCCGGCTCGCGCCTTTCACTTCTTTTGTGATCGTGCCGCCATTTCCGTTGCCATTGCCGTTACCGTTCGTCGTCGGCGCGGAACGGTATTGTCCTGTTTTGATGCTGGGGTTCTGCGTCGGCTTGCTCATCAGGTTCTTGTCGCCGGCTTTCTTCGCTGGTTTGAGGAGTCGCTCCTTGACCTCGCTCGAGAGGGTCGGCCGGGGCAGTTCGACGAGTTCCTGTCAGATGAGTCAACGCGCTCCAGCGAGAACCTTAGCAATACACACTTCGAATGACTGCGCATACCAGTCGCGCACTCTTTGAATCGACGGCATCTCATTGAGGCCATCTGGAAGTTCGTTGAGCTCCTCCACTCGGTGGGCTAACCGTATGGGCAGTTCTTCAGAAAGGAATTGTGACGCGCGGAAGAGGGTTCCCGTAGATGGCTTTTCTCCAAATTGTACCATTTGCCGTAATGAGACACCTGGTGGGATGTCAGACGAATACTGTAAGTGACCATGCGTGCTGCATACCGGTTGCTGGAAAGTTGCTGTAGTGCTATCCAAATGTTAGCTACAACCGCGACTGTGCGACAGGCTCGCCTACCTTGATGGTATCCATCAGCCTCTCGCTCCGTTTCCACGACATGATGCCAATTGTACAGGCCGAAACGGCCTTTGTCGCTGCGTATTCGCCAAAGTGGTGCGGGTGATGGTGGTGTTCACTGTCGAGCTACCCGAAGCACAGTTCCCGCCCCACTATGACGCTAATTGGTCTCGCTGCTACAGGCCGAGGTAACGGCGCGTCTGGATGCTGGGGAGCGATTTGAGAAAGAGAAGAGTGAAGTGGAAGAGAGACGCATGTGCTCGTGTGCCCTATGACACAGACTAGATTGCTGATGTACACGGAGTCTTCCGGCGATGACACCACTGCGACGAGCACCTGCGCTTCCCCCACACTTGACCTGCTTTCACGTGGAGATGATGTGGAAAAGGCGCCACGAAGCCTCACGCTTTAACTACTGACATCCCGCAGCTGACGAGACACAATGTGTCTACTTTCTTGAGTCCCCATTGCTTTTACTACCCACGCTGTCTAGCGAAACGAGTTGTTGCCATTGCTTCCGCAAGCATCCACGAGCTCCAGCCACACTATCCTCGGTTAGCTGTCGGAGAAAGCACCGGTAGAGCGCATGTTCCTGGCTGCATGTTCCTCAGGTCCGAGGATGCAAGGTGCTCGCTGCTCGCGTGAGTCGCTCCCTGGAGGCTAGCACTAGACTATTCTTCTAGTCTGTACAATTTGTGGAAATGCCGCTCAACGTGTCAGAAAATTTGCGATGTATGCAATTGGCTCATCATCAGCTGGATGTCTGTGGTCTGATATACGAAACTGATGCTTTGACCAATTCTGCCGTGTCTGAAAGTAGATTAAAATGAATCACTGGGGGCTGCACGATGTCTGCGACTTGTTCACGGAAGATGATGAGCGCGTTGAATGATCGGTAGAGGAGATTTGGTATTCCGAAAGTGCAACTAAGTCCAAACAGGCTCTATGCCGCACCAAAGTCGAAAAGCGCCTTGAAATGATACACCTAACATAATCTACATGAAGGGGTATTGCGGTCTAACTGCGCTCACCGCCTCCGTCGTTCGTCTATCATCGATGATGGTACAATCCAAACAGTTTTTGGGTCGAAAAGGTATTATAGAAAGGTCATGGCGTGTCGATAGGATGGTATAAACGTTCGAGAGGTGATACGCTTATTTGGTCTCGTTCTGGAGGAAGGTGATCAAGTCGTTGCGGTCCTTGGGCTTCTTGAGACCACCGAAAGCCATCTTGGTTCCGGGAATGTACTTCTTGGGGTTCTCGAGGTACTCGAACTGTGCTTCGTCAGCATGCCTTGCCACCGCGTAAGTGTCTTTTTGGGGTATAACGTACGAGAGTCTCGTTGCCCCACTCAACACCCTTCTGCTTGTTGGCGTCGGTGTATGAGAAACCCTCAACCTGGCCGGACTTGCGGCCGAAGAGACCGTGTAGGTTGGGGCCGATCTTGTTGCCCTCGCCCTCCTTCAGGGTGTGGCACTGAGCGCAGCGGGTCTGGAGGTTCGTTAGACTACGTTCGGGAGGCGTGGACGATGGCGCTGAGGCCGGTTCGGTGTGTTCGTACCTTGAAGAGGTTGGCACCCTTCTTAGCATCGCCTGAGAAAAGTGTTAGCTATATGTATGGTGACAAAATTTCTGTGCCCAGCCAAACAATCCGCCACCGTCCGCCCTTTGTCGCAAAGCTGCCACCTTGCGCTCACCGCTTCTTGAGTTGTCAATTATTCGGTCGGTACACCGGGAATAATTGATTCCTCATAGGAGTCGGATATCGATATGCGCGCAGGCTCAATGGATAGCAGACGATGGTCGACAAAGTGACAGACGGCCGATGACGTCTAACCGGTGTCAAGAAAACGTACCCTGCTCGAAACCCATTTTGAAGATGTGGTGGTGGTTGGGGTAAGATTGAGTGTTGGTGGAGGTGGAGTGGTGAAAGTTAGGTTAACTTTAGGCGTGACTGAGAGGTTGTGAGAGAGAAAAGATGGCCAAGTAGGAGTTGAGAGGCTTGAGAGAGTTTTAAGAATCTTGCCGTTAGCCGCGACGAAATGACGGGCCCAGGGCCCTGACGCGAGCACGGGTCACGGGACTAGCCAATCAGGCGACAGGTATAACTCAGTAGCAAAAAGTGCTCGGGTGGAACCGGTCCGGGATGGCAAACAGGAATCGCGATCAAATGGCGGTGCACTCGCCGCATCAGGTCTTGTTCCTCAGCCAACTTGCCGTCGCTATTCGGAGTACTTTCACGCCACGCCGTCAATTGCGATTCAGACTATCTCGCAACTTACTCGGCAATCTCGCATGAAGCTTGTGGGATGATGCCGTCACCAAGTGCTGCGTTGGCTGCTGCGAGTCTTTCTAGTATTTTTGCTGCCGTCAATCATCGTGAGGAATTTCGCTCTTCTTTCCTCCGGTGGTAGAATAAGCAGCGTCTGGCCTATTTCGTTGCCCTGCAGGACGCTTCTTCCCTGCTTTCTCTGGCCCGAATTCGATATGTGAAGCCTGTACAAGGGTCCGCAAATCGATGTGACATGCCCACTAACCCGCGCACCTCCACGCACCTGGTTCCCTAACATGACGGGCCAGGGTCATGAATAACGTTCTCTGTTATCTGCACAGCAGCACATTACTATTTCAAGCGCCGGCCAGGATCGACACTATTCTGCCCTCTTTGCAAACAGCCTTCTAGTGTTGGTCAGTCGCACTTCAGCCCCAGCTTGACGGTTGACATCATCGTGCCCCGCCACACCTCGACCGACCGGATGGACCAGATTCCGGGCATTCTATACGCCGATGAGGACTTTACCACATGGCTGATACTCGGCGCCAGCAGAGGCATAGGGCTAGAGTTTGTCAGACAGCTGTTAACTAAGAATGAGCGCATCATCGCTACTGTGCGGGAGCCTTGGGCCGGTCATGCCAGCGGTCTGTGGGGACAAGCGGGGAGCGATCATGGCCGATGCCAAATGTACACATGCGACATATTGTCAGAGCAAAGCATAGAGGTGTGTGCTGTTGACGATGGCCTTGTCATTCCAGAGGAAAACTAACTGGCCATCCGCAGAAATTCGTTGCGCAACTGGCCATGATACCGAACCTGAAGATAGACTACGTCGTACTAAACGCAGGAGTGCTAAGATACCCAAACGTAAGTCCGACATTGTCCACAGCATGCAAGGGAGCCGCACTAACCGATGTAGAGGGCCACTGAGCTGTGAGTCTTCCTTTACCGTTGCCGTTACGCCTTGCTGGTTATGGCTAAAGCGTGCATTTCCAATAAACGACAATCAATCTGCAGTGGCTGAAGTACTAGAAATTAACATTTTCTAGGTCTTTCGACGAGTTTGCCTTCCATTTGCATACCAACACCATTGGGCCCATCATCACAGCGCAGAAGTTGCTGAAAACAAACATACCAATTGGCACCATTGTCTTCATGTCCAGCGACTCGGGCTCGCAAGGTAACTTCCGGGAGATGGAAGACGGGTTCGCTGCATATGCTGCGTCAAAAGCTGCACTCAATATGGCAGTAAGGCACATGGCCGCCGAGTTGAAGAGAAAAGATGATGATACCATCATCTTGTGCATGCACCCGGGAGAAGTCGCAACAGACATGGCCAACGTTCAGCTACCGTGGGAAGTTCAGGGTATAATCACACCGGAGGAGTCAGTGATGAAGATGATCGAAGTGATCAAGAGCAAAGGCATACAGCACAGTGGCACTTTCTGGACTTATGAGAATAAGGTCAGTATTTTCCCCTCACTCACGAGTCAGTCACTGATATTGACCTAGCCGTACATCTGGTGACATCTGAAGATATTCGTAACGTTTACGACTCTCATATCCTTGCATGTTCTTCGCAAAATCTCCGCTAGGCAGTACCTATACCCACATACTAGAATGTATATGCATTGTTGTTTCATGACCTTTGCTACCACTTCCTTTCCGATGAATCTTCCATGCCCGTCGCCGTAGTCCAACCCCATCCACCACAGCCATCATCAAGCAATCTCCCCGACCATCCGACGAACTTCATCTGTGTCCCAATCCAGCCTCTCAGAACCAGCAGGTAAATCATAGTCGACCAAAGTCCGCACCGGCCTGATTGGTTTCGCTTTGTCCTTCTCCATCTTCCGACTCTTCTGCGCGCGCCGCGCCGCCTCCATGACATGTTGTATCTTCCTATCGGACTCTCCGACAACATATTTGCTGGCCATGTACGCCTGAGACTCTGATGCTGAGAGACCAATCACACCAGTCTGTGTGATTACACTGTCTTCGCGCTTCTGTCGCTTCCGGTGGTGCAAGTCTTGGTCTTCGTCACGCTCACTCTCAATGATGACAAGAGTCGGGGACGAAGACTTGGTAGGCGGGGAAGACATGGTCTTGTTGTTGGGCGCGGCACTGGCTTTCAAATACCTCCAGAACGAAGGGCAGCCGCATACACCGTCTTGTTCTGGGTTTCGGGGACACTTGCGTTTTGCCATTTTGGTGTCGGTATGTGTCAGATTGTGCCAAGCGTGAGCTCACACGGAAGCCAGGTTGTTATTGAGATCGAGGTTGGTAAGGACAAAAAATAGAGGCGAGGACGCGAACTTATATTTGATGAGGCTATGGTCAGTGGAGGCTGTCTGTGTGTGTACAACGGCGGTGACTCTACGCAACAACGTAAGGGTGAGCGAATTTCTTACTGTAGTAAAGCTGAACGAGGGGGTGAGGCAGGGCAGAAGTAACCGGTGCCTTCACCTGGGTATATTCGTCGAACCTCGAGTCTAATAACAGAGCCTTTAACCCATCATATCAATATCATACAAACCCTCTACAAGACCATCTACCACAATCTCCCAACAATTCTTACCGCAATCTTTACCGCAACCAACGTCCCCACTGCCAAAACTCCCACTCCAATCCCCAACGCCTTCAAATTCCTCATCTCATTGCTCAACGCCACTTTCTTCCTCTCCCCAATATTCCCCAAATGCGTCAACGTATCATACTGCGGCACATACTTGAAGTCAAACGACGTCTCCGTCCCCGCCAACCCCCACTTCGCCTTCACTATCAGCGTCCAGAAGATCTCTTTCGCGCGGTCGATTCTCCTGCGATCTGCATTGGGAAACAGGCGATAGGTGTAGCAGTAGAAAATGAAAAAGAGGCATTGGCCTGCCATCAGGGACCAGTAGTACGCGGAAACGCGTTTTAAACCGAGGCGGTCGCAGAGGGCGTTGCCATTTAGCCAGCGGGCGCTGGCGGTCAGCATGTCTGCGGAGGAGAAAGTTGGTGGCTCTTCTTTGAGCGCATAAATGATGTTGTTGGCCATTGTTTTGGACATTTCGGACGGGTCGACCTCGTGATAGAGGAGCGATTCCATGATGGCTTTGGCTTTTGTTGGGGTGGATAGCCATTCGTCGGGTGTGCCCATCAAGTAGCCGATGTAGCGCCATAGGGCTAGGTAGTCATCGATTTCTTGTTTGCGGAGGAAGATGCCTTGGCGGGGGAAGCTGAGATAGATCAAAGTTGATGAGAAAGTTCCGATTGTGGCTATTTGATCCAGGTCATTGATTGGTATTCCCCATTCTTCTACGTTGAAGTAGCTTGGGCGTTCTTTTGCGAGTTTCATAATGCGCTGCCGGACCGCGGCGTGTAGGAAGCGGACGCGTATCGATGAGGCGAATCCTTCTCCACCTGGTTTGAGTCCGTCCAGTGTCCGTGTGCATTGGAGGATGTGCTGTGTAGTTTCAAAGAGTCTGCCTCTTGCTACCTTTGTGCTGAAGCCTCCAGTTCTCGCTAATGTCTCCACCACTCGCGCAGCGCCCATGCCACCTAGGAGTGACTGGAAAGTGAGACCAGTCAAGGCGGGTCCGCCATAGCGATAGAACACATCCTGTCCTCTGGCGATCTGGTCCCAATCCACCCAATCCGGTACGGTGTGTACCTCGCGCCACAGTTCGGCAAGCTTAGGATCGGAGTTGTGATTTTCTTCAAGCAAGGCGTAAAGATCCCTCTTGGGTACCGGCAAAGGCTCTTTTTTCTCTTCTTCGGTGCCCGGAACTGATGATAGCGCGGCGCGGTTGCTATCGTTCCTTGGCAGAGCACCCTTGTGCGGTGGCGAGATGGCGTTCAAACGATCAAGACATTCCTCTGCTAGTACATCGTACGAAAACTTCATAGGCTTCATTTGCTCCGGTGTAAGATGTTCAGGCGTCCATTCGAATCGGTATCCCCAGCAGCTGATAGCGGTTAGTATGCGCCATCCATTGTCTTCCGCTTCTGGACGTACTCTTTAGTGTTGGCTGTTCGCCTCTGGAACACATTTGGCATAGCCATATTCAAGTAAATGAGAGAGAAATGCAGATGAACGACGTCGATACCGTCAAACACTCAGATATTCGACAAGAGATAATCATTACACGATGTACGGCGAAGGTGGTCCGTCATATGATACCGAGGCCCTAGCGCGCATGGGTATGAGGGGATCCACTTCCATTTTTGCCGCGATCGCCCCGCGATCGATCTTGCCAGGAAACTGCCACGGGAGAGTTGACTGTCGAGATAGCGTGAAGATTGCAGGAGGCACTGACGCATGTTCGTTGATGTCACCACTCCGTCGCGTACTAGTGCGGAGCAGATTTCGAAGCCGCAAGAGCGAGCCGGTTCCGACGTAGCGTCACACCTAGTGCTAGGTTAAACAGAACGCACCCTTCATACCAACGAATGCTACAAGTACATTATTTGTGATAGCCACCGTGCCGCCGACATGCATCTTAGAACGTGAAGAGCGGGAGCCTCTCCACAACCCAATACGTATAATACAGTGCCGCGACTTGCTTTGACGGCGTCCCCAGCGTACTCCTGCTCACGATGGCCATGCCGAAAT